GTAGGGTTCTGATGACTCCTAATTTGTGCTCCAGTGGGTGGTGTGAGTCAAAACGGAGATACTGGTTGGTGTGGGTTGGTTTCCTCTACACCTCTATGTTGAGTTGTCTGTCCTCTGAGATGTGGACAGCACAGCCCAGGAATGCAAGACTGTTGTTTTTTACATCTTCTCTGGTGAACTTGATGTTCCTGTCCACCGTGTTGATGTGGTCTGTGAAGTTGTTGACCTCATGGACCTTGATCTTGACCCAAGTGTCGTCCACATATCGGAACCAGTTGCTGGGTGATGTTCCCAAACGTTTTCTTTTAGAGCGTGTATTATGGTTTAATTTACACAAACCTTTCTACTAGAACTACATGCTGAACTCAACACAAGGTATGCCACAGTAGTAGTGGAAGTATTGCACAACAATATGCCACACACCTTTCCACTAAAGTAATTTTTCTCAACATCCTCAAGCTTCACCTTGTGCTTCTTCTCTAAGCTCATTAATCCCCCTTGCCTATTGTCATCTCAGTGGGTTTGAACAATTCACTGCTGAGGCTCTTCTGGGCTCATGTATGAGGTATATGTTGCCATCCCACCCTGTTTTTTTCTCAGCCTCAAAATTACTCCAACCCCCCATGGTGCTTCGACATTACATCGAGGCGTATGCAGAGAAATTTGGTTCCCATGAGCCACTTCTGCCCCTACTCTGTGGTTGCAGTGGCACCCATGGGAGAGAAGATAAAAGACATGTTCTGGAGCAATCCCCTCGTACACATACATACACAAGCATGCACACACGGTACATGCGAGCACACCAGAAGCACTTTCTCTTCATCCCCTTCTCACATCCCCTTTTCCCAAGCGTTATCAAAGGCTTCTCAATTGAAGCTTTGATGAGAAGAACACATTTTAAAAGGAACACTCTACAAAGTCTTTGTGAAAAAAAATCCTTGGATAATGTGCTCTTCTCTCAGGAAACAATTCCCTACATATTGTTAGCCTCTTCAGTGCGATTTACATGTAAAGTTTCAAAGCGATGTGCTAAATGGTCGCAGGGAGCACGATCATTAGAGCATTAGGTCAGATCCCGTAACAAACCGATCACATTCTCCTGTACCTGTTGGTGAAAGGCTCGTCAGTCGGTCAGATAACTGGAAATCACTGAAAAGAAATCAAGCATTCACTGAGAAATCACCAGATAAAATATAGCCTGACAAATCGTGGGAATGTGGTTGTAAATTCTGGCCTTTAAGCAGAACATGAGTCATAATCGTCAACATCAAATAAATCTCAATCCCTGTGGAATCCATCACAGAGTAAATATGAACTTCATGCCAATCTTATTCCTCCATGTTTGCTGTAAACAGTTCAGTGGTTTTATTTCCTGAGATCTTGTGAAGAATTTTGTGGGTGGAGAGGGAGGGACTGCAACATTTTTCCATTGTATTGTGAGAATCAAGTGTGCAACAGTTATATAAAAACGGATGACGGGAATAATTTGACTTTACACTCTACTGTCTGAACAATACATAAACATAAAAAAAATGCTTTGTTTCATTTATACAGATTCATGCAATATAATAGTAACTGATTAAACTGCATGCAAAAGACTATATTCCAAAGTGGAACTCAATTACATTTTTTTTAGTAATACAAATTTCATAAATGATTTGACTATCTGACTGTGGCTGTGTTCCCTGTGCTGCAGGAGTTCGTACAGAGCAGGATCTTTATGCTCGACTCATCGACTCTGTCACTAAACAGGTGAGCAAACTTTGTCTTCTTGAAAGTGACTCTTTCTCCCCAATGTGTATGTATAATATACATGTATATATATGTATATATATATACACATATGTGTATATATGTGTGTATATATATATATATGTATATATATATTTGGATATATATGGATATACTGTATATGAATGTGTGATTTATTCTCCATGAATCTAACACTCTCACTCTCTGCTCCTATTTTTACTCCTCTCAGCCTATATCATACGAGGGACAAAACAAGAATCCAGAAATGTGTAGAGTTTTGCTCACACATGAAGTAATGTGCAGGTGAGTGTCAAAACACTTAGACAAACACACGCACACTCAATCCACAGGGACAAAATCCAAATATCCATTACTCTTCTCCACTCTACTTAATCCCAGGCAGCTTGAAATGTGGCTCTGAGAAGATGCTTGGGTCTACATTTTTAAAACAAAAAAGAGACTGTGCCTGAACTGTAAATAAAGGCAGCCACTCATCATCTCCCCTGCTGCTTTCTGCTGTAACCCAGCAGGTTCTGCTGCTACTTTTTCCTTGGCCTGGACTAATCCCTGATCTGCCTCGTCTGACAGCAGCAGAATCTTCAGGAGTGTAACAAAGTTTACCCTCAGTGAGATGGAAGCTCTGCTCCTGTTTAGTCAAGGCCACATTTTTGAAGTGGGACAACAGGTGTGTTTCTGAATCTGCTGTCAGGTGGAATATTTTAGGAGGTCCCATCATGACTTTGGGGCCTAAATAGTTTTGAATAAGTCTCGTGAAAGAAAGGTGAACATAAGGTTACCTATGGAGAAGATGAGCAGTCTGGAAGAGGAGTGGTGACCCAGGATCGGAGGGCAGCCTAGGGAAGATAGGGGGCTGGGAGAATCTGAAATGAGCTTAGACGGAGTGGGCTTTGCCATTGTGTAGCCAGCAGATGCTCGAATGTGACTCACAGCTGGCTAATAACAGAGTCGAGGAGGTAGAGGGTAAGCGTCACAGCTGGGGAGTGAGGCCGTCTGACAAGGAGGCGGAGGGGGGGCAGTGCAGGGCCAAGCTGGGACA